ACGATGCCAAAATTATGAGAAGGATTAAGACAGAGGAGGATTGCTTAAGGCTTCAAGAAGACCTGAACAAGCTGAAGGAATGGTCGAACATATGGTTGTTAGAGTTTAACCCAACGAAATGTAATGTAATGAAGATAGGTGTAGAAAGCAGGAGACCAGATACAAGGTATCATTTGGGAGACGAAATACTTCAGGAGTCAGAAAGAGAGAAAGACCTGGGGGGGATGATATCACGCCAGACCTGTCCCCTGAAGCTCATATCAAGAGGATAACATCAGCGGCATATGCCAGGTTGGCTAACATAAGAACGCCATTTAGAAACTTGTGTAAGGAATCTTTCAGAACATTATATACCACATATGTCAGACCAATCCTGGAATATGCGGGTCCAGCATGGAGTCCATATCTAGTCAATCATTAGACTAAACTGTAAAAGGTTCAAAGGTTTGCCACATGACTAGTACCCGAGCTGAGAGGTATGAGCTACGAGGAGAGACTGCGGGAATTAAACCTCACTTCGTTGGAAGACGGAAGAGTTAAGGGGGACATGATCACCATATTCAAGATTCTCAATGGAATCAACAGGGTAGATAAAGACAGGTTATTTAACACAAGGGGCACACGCACTAGGGGACACAGGTGGAAACTGAGTGCCCAAATGAGCCACAGAGATATTAGAAAGAACTTTTTTAGTGTCAGAGTGGTTGACAAATGGAATGCATTAGGAAGTAATGTGGTGGAGGCTGACTCCATACACAGTTTCAAGTGTAGATATGATAGAGCCCAATAGGCTCAGGAACCTGTACACCTGTTGATTGACGGTTGAGAGGAGGGGCCAAAGAGCCAGAGCTCAACTCCCGCAAGCACAACTAGGTGAGTACACACACACACACACACACACACACACACACACACACACACACACACACACACACACACACACACACACACACACACACACACGTTTTGCTCATTGATATTTCAGATTTGACCTTAAATCCCCAAGGATCAGACGTCGGAATCCTGGCTGACTTAGCATTGAGTGGTGTCCCAGCGGGATGGACCACTTGTCCCATCTTACACTGCCCGCGCTGGATACCCACTCGATTTTTTTATTTTATAAAGTGAGGATAGATTACAGTTAATATATTTTCTCTCATCCTGTCAACTGTTTTGTTCAATTCGTGTGAAAAGAGAGGTGGTGTTGATGACAGAGCCAGGCACAGCACTCCTGGTTCTCCTAAACCAATAAACCCTCTCATTAGTTAGTCTCAAACAAATTATAAATTCATGCCGGCGGAGGAGTGTAGCAACAAGTTCTCCCGCGCCATAAAGTATGCACCGGTCCAACCTGGAACACTCTCCACCACCAACACGCTGCGACCTGGATGGTCAATAAGCTTTTGTTGTGACCTATAACAGGGTGACTTTTGTGGCTTTGTGGTGACCTATAATCCTATAACAGATGATGGGCCGTAAGCCCAATTCTAAGCAAACCGTCATCAGACCTAAAGTGACCTTTATTGAGTGTTCCGTCGCCTGTAAGTTTAAAAGGCTCATATCTAATTGTTCCCTTGAAGAGTTGTACCAGGCCGTGGATACCAGCAGGGCCTTCTGCTCATACCAGGATGAGTATGACTACAGCTGCACCTGCCCCATCACTGGTCACTGAGGTCAACCACTGTATACCTCCGCCTGTAAGCCTTACTCTACCTTTTGCCTTATAATTGATCTATTCTGGCTTACGAATTTCTTTGTCGATTCGGGTCTGTAAAGTATGGATGGAGGGGAGTTTTATAACTTCTTTTTTCAATGTATTCTAATTGTTGAGAACCCGTACGGGGGAACGAGCATTTGTTTACATTTCTTCGCCTCATCCGCGGTTCCAGTTATGTTCTCCTGCCCTACTTGTTCTCTATTTGAAGATGTTGTCCTTGTCTATTTTGTCTATTGCCGTAGTATCTTGTATGTTGTGGGGGGGTGGGGGGGGTATGGACATGGTGGTCACTGTGCCAGGTGACCACCACACCTGTCACTGTGTCACAGTGGCCACCACACCTGTCACTGTGTCACAGTGGCCACCACACCTGTCACAGTGCCTGTTCTCAACTCCTTGATGTTATCAGAACAAACACAAACCTTGTCAGTGTCCGTCAGTGTGGCGTTGAGCCAAACGTGTCCTTCGTTGTGGTGTAGTAATGACCCGTCGGTGTCGTGACCGGTGGGGGGCTGCTTCATCCGTCAACCACTTGGGCTGGACGGTAGAGCGACGGTCTCGCTTCCTGCAAATCTACGTTCAATCCCCGACCGCCCAAGTGGTTGGGAGAAAATGTATATTCTTATCTCTCAGAATGTTTGGTAATATGTTTATTGTTTGTGATGTGTGTCTATGTATGTATTAACACGATGTACTGAACGGGGTGAGAATAGCTTGAGCTACCTCATCCCTTTGTGTGTATTTTACCTCAATAAACGTATTTCAATTTCAATTTCAAGTGGTTGGGCACCATTCCCTTCCCCCCGTCCCATCCCAAATCTTTGTCCTGACGGCTTCCAAGTGTTATATAGACGTAAGGGCTTGCCGCTTTTCCCTGATAAGGGTTAAGTGAAGTTGATGGTAGATGAGATTTCTAGTCATCCGTCAACACTCTTATCTTGAGAAAATACTAAGGATGTTCAATGAAATCGAACCCGCATCCCGGGATTCCCCAGGTATACACACTACAGACTGGACCATGATGCCTGCTTGGGGAGTACAAGGGCGCGGGTTCGATCCCATTGTACAACCTCATAGATACATAATTTTGCTGTGATTTCAGTGTGAATTTGACATTTGTTTTTGGGACCAAAGACGGTACCATGAGGTCCTCCCTGGCCTGAGACGGTACCATGAGGTCCTCCCTGGCCTGAGACGGTACCATGAGGTCCTCCCTGGCCAGAGACGGTACCATGAGGTCCTCCTTGGCCAGAGACGGTACCATGAGGTCCTCCCTGGCCAGAGACGGTACCATGAGGTCCTCCCTGGCCAGAGACGGTACCATGAAGTCTTCCCTAACCAGAGACGGTACCATGAGGTCCTCCCTGGCCAGAGACGGTACCATGAGGTCCTCCCTGGCCAGAGACGGTACCATGAGGTCCTCCCTGGCCAGAGACGGTACCATGAAGTCCTCCCTAACCAGAGACGGTACCATGAGGTCCTCCCTGACCAGAGACGGTACCATGAGGTCCTCCCTGGCCAGAGACGGTACCATGAAGTCCTCCCTGACCAGAGACGGTACCATGAGGTCCTCCCTGACCAGAGACGGTACCATGAGGTCCTCCCTGGCCAGAGACGGTACCATGAAGTCCTCCCTGGCCAGAGACGGTACCATGAAGTCCTCCCTGACCAGAGACGGTACCATGAGGTCCTCCCTGACCAGAGACGGTACCATGAGGTCCTCCCTGACCAGAGACGGTACCATGAGGTCCTCCCTGGCCAGAGACGGTACCATGAAGTTCTCCCTGGCCAGAGACGGTACCATGAGGTCCTCCCAGGCCTGAGACGGTACCATGAGGTCCTCCCTGGCCAGAGACGGTACCATGAGGTCCTCCCTGACCAGAGACGGTACCATGAGGTCCTCCCTAACCAGAGACGGTACCATGAGGTCCTCCCTGACCAGAGACGGTACCATGAGGTCCTCCCTGACCAGAGACGGTACCATGAGGTCCTCCCTGACCAGAGACGGTACCATGAGGTCCTCCCTGACCAGAGACGGTACCATGAGGTCCTCCCTGACCAGAGACGGTACCATGAGGTCCTCCCAGGCCTGACACGGTACCATGAGGTCCTCCCAGGCCTGACACGGTACCATGAGGTCCTCCCTGGCCAGAGACGTTACCATGAGGTCCTCCCAGGCCTGACACGGTACCATGAGGTCCTCCCTGACCAGAGACGGTACCATGAGGTCCTCCCTAACCAGAGACGGTACCATGAGGTCCTCCCTGACCAGAGACGGTACCATGAGGTCCTCCCTGGCCTGACACGGTACCATGAGGTCCTCCCTGGCCTGACACGGTACCATGAGGTCCTCCCTGACCAGAGACGGTACCATGAGGTCCTCCCTGGCCTGACACGGTACCATGAGGTCCTCCCTGGCCAGAGACGGTACCATGAGGTCCTCCCTAACCAGAGACGGTACCATGAGGTCCTCCCTGACCAGAGACGGTACCATGAGGTCCTCCCTGGCCTGACACGGTACCATGAGGTCCTCCCTGACCAGAGACGGTACCATGAGGTCCTCCCTGGCCTGACACGGTACCATGAGGTCCTCCCTGACCAGAGACGGTACCATGAGGTCCTCCCTGGCCAGAGACGGTACCATGAGGTCCTCCCTGACCAGAGACGGTACCATGAGGTCCTCCCTGACCAGAGACGGTACCATGAGGTCCTCCCTGGCCAGAGACGGTACCATGAGGTCCTCCCTGGCCAGACACGGTACCATGAGGTCCTCCCTGACCAGAGACGGTACCATGAGGTCCTCCCTGGCCAGACACGGTACCATGTAGCAGCACCATGTACCTATATCCATATAACACTCGACAGCTCAGTAATAACGAGTAACGACGATATTTTGGTCGGTATGGAAGCATTACCAGGTACCTAAAACAATGTAATCTAAACATTTAATACCATACAATATGGTACCCTACATGCAGGGTACCATATATAATATACCTACCATACACAGAGTATGGTAGGTATGAAGGGGTACCATATACAATATACCTACCATACACAGAGTATGGTAGGTATGAAGGGGAGTACCATATACAATATACCTACCATACACAGAGTATGGTAGGTATGAAGGGGTACCATATCCAACACAGCATAACACGGTAGACTTATTAGCTTATTGTACGCTGTTTTAGAGGACAGCGGTTTATTATAACTAAGCTTTGTGAAGATGGATATGTAAGCTGGATAATAGATCAGCAGAAGCCTCGGTCTCGCTACGACACTATAATGCCTGTTGATGTAGGTCGACATCAACCTGTTGATGTAGGTCGACATCAACCTGTTGATGTAGGTCGACATCAACCTGTTGATGTAGGTCGACATCAACCTGTTGATGTAGGTCGACATCAACCTGTTGATGTAGGTCGACATCAACCTGTTGATGTAGGTCGACATCAACCTGTTGATGTAGGTCGACATCAACCTGTTGATGTAGGTCGACATCAACCTGTTGATGTAGGTCGACATCAACCTGTTGATGTAGGTCGACATCAACCTGTTGGTGTAGGTCGACATCAACCTGTTGATGTAGGTCGACATCAACCTGTTGATGTAGGTCGACATCAACCTGTTGGTGTAGGTCGACATCAACCTGTTGATGTAGGTCGACATCAACCTGTTGGTGTAGGTCGACATCAACCTGTTGATGTAGGTCGACATCAACCTGTTGATGTAGGTCGACATCAACCTGTTGATGTAGGTCGACATCAACCTGTTGATGTAGGTCGACATCAACCTGTTGATGTAGGTCGACATCAACCTGTTGATGTAGGTCGACATCAACCTGTCCTCACAGCCAAACTACTTGGCTTAGTAAGGTCCCATTTGCTTAACAAGCAGATTTGGTTTAAAAGTCCGCGAAATAAAACCTGGTAACCATATTTATATATTTTCCTCTGACTAGTACAGGGAATACAGGTACAGTACTAGGACTAGGCTTGCTAGGGGAGGCCAGGTTAGGTCTTATATTTATGTTACGACGAAAAACGTTTCCTGTTTGTATATAATAATAATACAGAAACTCAAATTTCTGGCGGTCTATCACTATATATATATATATTGGTACTTTCTGGTGGTCCATCACTACATATTGGTACTTTCTTGTGGTCCATCACTATATATTGGTAATTGCTGGTGGTCCATCACTATATATATTGGTACTTTCTGGCGGTCCATCACTATATATATATATATATATATATATATATATATATATATATATATATATATATATACATATATATATATGTATATATATATATATATATATATATATATATATATATATATATACATATATATATGTATATATATATATATATATATATATATATATATTGGTACTTTCTGGCGGTCCATTACTACATATTGGTACTTTCTGGCGGTCCATCACTATATATAGATATTGGTACTTTCTGGTGGTCCATCACTACATATTGGTACTTTCTGGTGGTCCATCACTATATATTGGTAATTTCTGGTGGTCCATCACTATATATATTGGTACTTTCTGGCGGTCCATCACTCTATATATATATATATATATATATATTGGTACTTTCTGGTGGTCCATCACTACATATTGGTACTTTCTGGCGGTCCATCACTATATATATATATATATATATATATATATATATATATATATATATATATATATATATATATATATATATATATATATATATTGGTACTTTCTGGTGGTCCATCACTATATATTGGTAATTTCTGGTGGTCCATCACTATATATATTGGTACTTTCTGGCGGTCCATCACTATATATATATATTGGTACTTTCTGGCGGTCCATCACTATATATATATATTGGTACTTTCTGGTGGTCCATCACTACATATTGGTGCTCTCTGGCGGTCCATCACTATATATATATATTGGTACTTTCTGGCGGTCCATCACTACATATTGGTACCTTCTTGCGATGCATCACTATATATATTGGTACTTTCTGGTGGTCCATCACTTCATATTGGTACTTTCTGGCGGTTCATCAACACACTGGTACTTTCTGGCGGTCCATCAACACACTGGTACATTCTGGCGGTCTATCACCACTGGTACATTCATGCGGTCTATCACCACTGGTACATTCTGGCGGTCCATCACCACTGGTACATTCTGGCGGTCCATCACCACTGGTACATTCTGGCGGTCCATCAACACACTGGTACATTCTGGCGGTCCATCACCACTGGTACATTCTGGCGGTCCATCAACACTGGTACATTCTGGCGGTCCATCACCACTGGTACATTCTGGCGGTCCATCAACACACTGGTACATTCTGGCGGTCCATCAACACACTGGTACTTTCTGGCGGTCCATCAACACACTGGTACATTCTGGCGGTCCATCAACACACTGGTACTTTCTGGCGGTCCATCAACACACTGGTACTTTCTGGCGGTCCATCAACACACTGGTACATTCTGGCGGTCCATCACCACTGGTACATTCATGCGGTCCATCACCACTGGTACATTCTGGCGGTCCATCACCACTGGTACATTCTGGCGGTCCATCACCACTGGTACATTCCGGCGGTCCATCAACACACTGGTACATTCTGGCGGTCCATCGCCACTGGTACATTCTGGCGGTCCATCACCACTGGTACATTCTGGCGGTCCATCAACACACTGGTACATTCTGGCGGTCCATCACCACTGGTACATTCTGGCGGTCCATCAACACACTGGTACATTCTGGCGGTCCATCACCACTGGTACATTCTGGCGGTCCATCACCACTGGTACATTCTGGCGGTCCATCAACACACTGGTACATTCTGGCGGTCCATCACCACTGGTACATTCTGGCGGTCCATCAACACACTGGTACATTCTGGCGGTCCATCAACACACTGGTACATTCTGGCGGTCCATCAACACACTGGTACATTCTGGCGGTCCATATCCTCTCTGCTACATTCTGGCGGTCCATCTCCTCTCTGCTACATTCTGGCGGTCCATCAACACACTGGTACATTCTGGCGGTCCATATCCTCTCTGCTACATTCTGGCGGTCCATCTCCTCTCTGCTACATTCTGGCGGTCCATCAACACACTGGTACATTCTGGCGGTCCATATCCTCTCTGCTACATTCTGGCGGTCCATCAACACACTGGTACATTCTGGCGGTCCATCACTCAGCGAGAATCTTCTCAGAACTTGGGTTGTAAATGTATGTTTGAGGTACAATAGCGAGGACGGTCTCAGTAACTCTGTGACAGCACAGCCACAGTTGGTGAACACGGCGGACACAGATCAGCTTCCTGTTGCACATACATACCGGACATACACATATGTAATCATTTATTTATGTGAGAATGTGTCGCGTTGATACCTCTACCACCACCGTGTTACTGTGCGGCGGTTAGTGGTTCAGTAGGTTGTGTTGTTGTTATAGATTGAGCTACTCGGAACAAGTTCCAAGTAGCACGGGCTATGGTGAGCCCGTAGGTGGTTCAGTAGGTGCTCACGCTCACCCTTATACCCTATAACCCCTGCCCCATGTACATCACACAACACCTGCCACATGTACACCCCACAACCCCTGCCTCATGTACACCCCACACAACACCTGCCACATGTACACCCCACAACCCCTGCCCCATGTACACCCCACAACCCCTGCCCCATGTACACACCACAACCCCTGCCCCATGTACACACCACAACACCTGCCCCATGTACACCACACAACCCCTGTCCCATGTACACCCCACAACCCCTGCCCCATGTACACACCACAACCCCTGCCCCATGTACACACCACAACACCTGCCCCATGTACACCACACAACCCCTGCCCCATGTACACCCCACAACCCCTGCCCCATGTACACCCCACAACCCCTGCCCCATGTACACACCACAACACCTGCCCCATGTACACCCCACACAACCCCTGCCCCATGTACACACCACAACACCTGCCCCATGTACACACCACAACACCTGCCCCATGTACACCACACACAACCCCTGCCCCATGTACCCCACACAACCCCAGCCCCATGTACACCACAACCCCTGCCCCATGTACACCACAACCCCTGCCCCATGTACACCACAACCCCTGCCCCATGTACACCCCACAACACCTGCCCCATGCCACCCCACAACCTCTGCACCATGTACACCCCACAACACCTGCCCCATGTACACCACACACAACCCCTGCCCCATGTACCCCACACAACCCCTGCCCCATGTACACCACAACCCCTGCCCCATGTACACCACAACCCCTGCCCCATGTACACACCACAACCCCTGCCCCATGTACACCCCACACAACCCCTGCCCCATGTACACCCCACACAACCCCTGCACCATGTACACCCCACACAACCCCTGCCCCATGTACACCCCACACAACCCCTGCCCCATGTACACCCCACACAACCCCTGCCCCATGTACACCCCACACAACCCCTGCCCCATGTACACCACACAACACCTGCCACATGTACACCTCACAACCCCTGCCCCATGTACACCACACAACACCTGCCACATGTACACCCCACAACCCCTGCCCCATGTACACCCCACAACCCCTGCCCCATGTACACCCCACAACCCCTGCCCCATGTACACCCCACAACCCCTGCCCCATGTACACACCACAACACCTGCCCCATGTACACCACACAACCCCTGTCCCATGTACACCCCCCAAAACCCCTGCCCCATGTACACTCCCCACAACCCGTGCCCCATGTACACCCCACACAACCCCTGCACCATGTACACCACACACAACCCCTGCCCCATGTACACTATACAACCCCTGCCCCATGTACACTACACAACCCCTGCCCCATGTACACTACACAACCCCTGCCCCATGTACACTACACAACCCCTGCCCCATGTACACCACACACAACCCCTGCCCCATGTACACACCACACAACCCCTGCCCCATGTACACCCCACACAACCCCTGCCCCATGTACACTACACAACCCCTGCCCCATGTACACTACACAACCCCTGTTCCATGTACACTACACAACCCCTGCCCCATGTACACTACACAACCCCTGCCCCATGTACACCCCACACAACCCCTGCACCATGTACACCACACACAACCCCTGCCCCATGTACACACCACACAACCCCTGCCCCATGTACACCCCACACAACCCCTGCCCCATGTACACTACACAACCCCTGCCCCATGTACACTACACAACCCCTGCCCCATGTACACACCACACAACCCCTGCCCCATGTACACTCCACACAACCCCTGCCCCATGTACACTACACAACCCCTGCCCCATGTACACTACACAACCCCTGCCCCACGCCACCCCACGCCCAGCACCCCACACGGCCGTCTGGCAGCTGTTGCCTCCAACATTTACAATGCAAATGTTGTAGTCTCGGATATGACCACTTCCTGCTGCAGCTGCGGGTCCTTACAAGTGTTTACCACTGTCAGAGTTGCTTAGTCTTACAGCACGAGGCTGGTAACGATGACCATATGTGTGCGGCAGGTCCCTGGCAGGTCCCTCGTCCCTGACCTTTTCCCTGGCAGGTCCCTCGACCCTGACCTGGTCCGTGGCAGGTCCCTCGGCCCTGACCTGGTCCCTGGCAGGTCCCTCGCCCCTGACCTGCTCCCTGGCAGGTCCCTCGCCCCTGACCTGGTCCCTGGCAGGTCCCTCGCCCCTGACCTGGTCCCTGGCAGGTCCCTCGCCCCTGACCTGGTCCCTGACAGGTCCCTCGCCCCTGACCTGGTCCCTGGCAGGTCCCTCGCCCCTGACCTGGTCCCTGGCAGGTCCCTCGCCCCTGACCTGGTCCCTGGCAGGTCCCTCGCCCCTGGCCTGGTCCCTGGCAGGTCCCTCGGCCCTGACCTGGTTCCTGGCAGGTCCCTCGCCCCTGACCTGGTCCCTGGCAGGTCCCTAGTCCCTGACCTGTTCCCTGGCAGGGACTCGTCCCTGACCTGGTCCCTGACCTGGTCCCTGGCAGGGACTCGTCCCTGACCTGGTCCCTGGCAGGTCCCTAGTCCCTGACCTGGTCCCTGGCAGGGACTCGTCTTCCGGAGCTGCACAGTACTCCTGCACCAGCGGGAGTGCTGTGCGGGGCTCTGAGCAGTTACGCAAGCAGTAACAAAGCAGTTACGCAAGTACTTACGAACCTGTACATCTTTTCGTAATCTTTGGCGGCTTTGTTTACAATTATTAAACAGTTAATGAGCTCCGAAGCACCAGGAGGCTGTTTATAACAATAACAACAGTTGACTGCGAAGTTTTCTTAGTTGTAAACTGTTTAATAAACGTAACCAAAGCCGTCAATGATTGTGAAAAGATGTACACGTTCGTAAGTACTTGAGAAACTGCTTCGTGAATCTGGCCCCAGAGTGGTGGTCTTGGTCGCCCGCCAGGTACTGAAACTATCAGACTACGGTTCTGATTGTCAAGGACCCCAACCAGAGTGATTAACGAGATTGTTAAGGTCTTGGGAGAGTCCGGGACCTCCGCTTCAAACAGTAACAATCAAACGTCAGTAGCTGTAACTGAAGCTGTAACTATCTCTACTGAAGCTGTAACTATCTCTACTGAAGCTGTAACTATCTCTACTGAAGCTGTAACTATCTCTACTGAAGCTGTAACTATCTCTACTGAAGCTGTAACTATCTCTACTGAAGCTGTAACTATCTCTACTGAAGCTGCAACTATCTCTACTGAAGCTGTAACTATCTCTACTGAAGCTGTAACTATCTCTACTGAAGCTGTAACTATCACTACTAAAGCTGTAACTATCTCTACTGAAGCTGTAACTATCTCTACTGAAGCTGTAACTATCACTACTGAAGCTGTAACTATCTCTACTGAAGCTTTAACTATCACTACTGAAGCTGTAACTATCACTACTGAAGCTGTAACTATTACCACTGAAGCTGTAACTATCACCACTGAAGCTGTAACTATCACCACTGAAACTGTGACTATCACTACTGAAGCTGTGACTATCACCAATGGTGCTACAACGTATATCTCTCTCTCTCTCTCTCTCTCCCTCCCTCCCTCTCTCGCTCCCTCACTCTCTCCCTCCCTCACTCTCTCCCTCCCTCCCTCTCTCCCTCCCAAGAACCCGTGAAGGAAGCCCGCTGTTTACAATGACAAGATAATGTCGGATCACTCAATTCTAATTTGCATATTGACAAAGTGGAGGTTCAACAAATGTTTGGTAATTGGTACCTGGGGACGGTTTCCTTGTCTTCACCTTCCAGGACGGTGACACTGACATCACTAGTGCTGCAGAAAAACATCTTTCCGATGCCCGTGACTTCATTCATGGTGTGTGGTGACTTCTGCTGACCTCTGAACACCTTACCTTGAGGTTACCTTGAGGTGCTTCCGGGGCTTAGCGTCCCCGCGGCCCGGTCGTCGACCAGGCCTCCTTGTTGCCGGACTGATCTTTGTTTTGTTTCATGACTTGTGATGCCACGAGGGCTTAGAACTTGTATTGTTTATGGGGTTTAATTAAATTAATATAGATA